ACAACCGTGATCTTATGTAGGAATGTGTCGCATACAGCTCACCTGTTAGCCGTTTATCCCTTACCGTTTATACGTTTATAATATGGACAACCGGTATGTAGGAATGTGTCCCGCCCAGTCTCGCCTGTCAATTCTTCATACCCTTACCCGTTTTAACGACAATCATATGAACCCCCGTGGTCTCTGTCTATACAGCATTGTCTCATACAGCCTGACCCGTCAATCGTCTATACCTTGCTGTTGGTACGGAAACGTATTGTAGTCTCACGGACGACTATGTATCTCTATAGCATCCCGATAATCGTATATACCGGTGTCTATATACGGCAATCCGACTTACCATGATTCGCTGTACGCCAATGTATCCCATACAGCCGCACCCCACAGACCCGAGTGTGGTATTGTCTGGAGGGCACGACGGTCGCCTGATCTTGTGGGACATCATCGAAGGCACTTGCCTAAAAATGATCTGGAACCACGATCCCTACACTATGAATACACGTACGTACTTTATCTGTACACAAGTATGTACTTTATCTGTACCCACATATGTACTTTATCTGTGCCCACGTATGTACTTTATCTGTACATTGTCTGATTAAGCTCAAATGTACTTAATTTTAATATAGGATTCATCACTGGCCCTACACATTCAGATAATGTACAAGTTTGTTTCGATACCTCTTTATTTTCAGATGTTCATAGACATATATATGTGTACATGTAAACAAGACTGTAGTTTTGTCCTTACTTAAGCACCAATTAAGCGCGCAATGATTCAGATTTCAGAACCGCATGTGTCAATATGTGTATTTGTGAATGTATAAATATATTTATATTTGTATATATATGTGTGTGTGTGGTGTGCATGTGTATGTGTTTGTATTTATGTGTGTGTGTGTATTTATGTATGTGTGTGTGTGTGTGTGTACGAGTGTATCAATATATATATATATACGAACTATCATACTTATCTGTTACCTGAATTCATATTTTACGACTCTTCCATATTCTCATCTGCTTTTTCGATCCTATACAGACGGGATCACAGACGGACGATTCTCGCCCGATGGGCTGTGCATTGCCATCACGGACTCGTTTGGCAATGTGTCAGTCATAGCACCCGAGATCAGAGGAAAGAAGGTTGAGCCAAAAGAACAACAATTCGATGAGAGAGACAGCCGTAGTGACTACCCTGTGTATGTAGGATATTGATGAATATGAATATATGTATATGTATATATATATATATACATATATATACCTTGGAATGTACGTGTTTATGTATGTATTTATGTATGTATATGTATGTATCTATGTGTCTCATATATATATATGTATATATATTTATTCAGTTTTCCTTTGTTCTTGCATGCGAGTTGACATGCACAAAGTATGCAAGAAATGGGTTTTTCTTCTACTGAACCTATATTTCTGTGTCTGTATTGCGACGGTATCTTTCCTGTTCGCAAAGAGGCATATCTTGCCATCCTGTATCCTCTTTCCTCCGATGTACGTGTAGTGAATACATAGACACGTGCTTGTATAGAGGTAATAAGAATCCTACTTACCCATTTCAATGCAATCCTCGTATTCCCCAACAGATGTGTGGTCAATGGTGTTGTCATGGACTCGCAGCTGAATGTGCCCATTATGGCCTGCCCGGATCGCCGAGTGTGCTCTCTGGCGGGCATCCCCTATGCGGAGCAGGTGTGTTTGGTTAACTCTCAAATTTATATATATATAGTGTGTGTGTGTGTTTATGTTTACGTTCTACGAACTTGATTGTTATAGCATTGTATGTATATATTTATACATTTTATGTTTGTTTTAATGGTTATGTTGTCATTGACCAATACAATCACCGATCGATTGCACTGTGTGCGTCGTCAACAGTAGGCTTATCTGCCGCTTTGCAGCCCTTTCGTTTCCAGTCTCACGCAAAACTGTATGTTCGCTTGTTGACTTATAGATCCTATATACAATCTGTTCGCTTGTTGACTTATATATCCTATATACAATCTGTTCACTTGTTGAAGATCCTATATACAATCTGTTCGCTTGTTGGCTTATAGATCCTATATATAATCTGTTCGTCTGTCACTTCATTATTCTATATATCGGGCGATGTGTTTCCTTCTCTTCTGATCGTATGCATACGTTGGGTTCATTCTATCCAGCTAACGGAAGAAGAGTACTGCAACTACTGGCCAGTACAGCCGAGGCGTGCGGTGGAAGAGTATGTGAGGCATGGTGATGAACTCGCTAAAGCGGAAGAGAGCAATCTTGCGTATCAACTATCGAAACGGACCAAAGTCAGTACTAAGATAGTATGTCATTTCGAACCTTCACTCATGTTTATCATTGTGTGTAATGTATATCTATCTATATTGGAGTGGCGCGTTTAGCTTTGTAAGAATTCAGCCGACACTGGCACACCGTACTATTAATCGCTGTCAGCGAAATATACCGAACATCAAGATAACATGTCTTGCGTGATAGTGTAGTCTCTCGTTAATGTTACATATCAGAGTACTACGATTCACCCAGTATGGCGCATATGCTTATTTGGACTGTTCCTATGAATGTCTGCGGTCCAACCCATGACAACACCTGCAGGACACGCTAGGTCGAAGAGTACAATACGTTTGTATAGTCTTTTCAGGATCAATATAAACCCTGAACTTGAGAGTTTGAATATTGATTTCAGGTCCTTACCCCGAAAGTATCTAAATTCCAAAGAGAAGTGGACCATGAGTTTGTATAGTCTTTTCAGGATAAATATAAACCCTGAACTCGAGAGTTTAAATATTATTTTTAGGTCCTTATCCCGAAAGTTTCTAAATTTCTGAATGAATGCAGTAGTTATTCAAGAGCACGAGCGGAGTTGTCGCTAATGAGGAACTATAATAACTATAGTCTTCTTTTTTAAGAGACTGTTTAGAAATCCCGCTTTACATCTCTTCATAATATACCCGGTGTTAAACCTTTTACAAAAATTATTAATACACAACCCTAATCCCTAATCACTAAACCTCTCATACAGGTGGCGCTCGGTCAGCAGGAACAGGAGCGTAAGCTGGCTCAGTCGCGTGCTCGAAACAGTGCGTATAAACGTGAAATGAATCGCAGGCGGAAGAAAGAGCAGGAGAACAAGGTTAGCGCGAGCACGGCAGTTATTCTGAGTACCTCAGCGAACGATCGTTTGGCCGCCAACAGACGCGCCCCTCCCTTGGACCGCTCCGGAAGATCGCCGGCTGGGAATGGTACGCATACGTAGTTGTGTCAGCGTATGTATGTGTATACATTTATGTTCCGGTGTATGATGCCTGGTGTGTGTGTGCTATGAAGTAGTCCTATGTATCTGTGTCTGGGTAGGTATCATCAGCGAACGATCGTTGGGCTGCCAACAGACGTGCTCCGTCACGGAGATCGCCGGCTGCCAATGGTAAGCAAACATAACTACAGCGAATGTACCAAAGAGGTGTGTGTGTACGCATATGTGTGTATCGGAGTATGTTTTTGTGCACGTGTGTATTTTATACTGCTGATATGTTTAACTTACAATAGTTGGTTCTGTGTATCTTGTTTCAGCGAGGTCTTATGAATGCGTACCACAGATAGCGTACACACCTCACTGTAATGTTTTTCTCGCATTCCCTTTCACCAGCACCGTCTGTATTGATGCCGATAATGATGCTGTTTGTCTTATGTATGCGAGTATGTATGCCAAGCACACACGCCCCATTGAAATCCTTATCTGATACCTGATCAACCGTTTTATCACAGGAACCTCCGCCAGAAGGCGCAACAATACTGTCTACATAGACGCTGATGATGACACAATCGATGTCGATGCCCCCGAAGTGGTCACGAATGCGGTATGTGTGCGTGTGCGTGTGTGTGTGTGTGTGTGTTTGTTTGTATGGACGCCTAGCTTCTAAGGATAATTGTTTATAAATTGACATGTGTTGTGTATGAGATATCTGCTATTACGAATATGTTTTTACCAATATATATTTTTATCTTCATAATATTTCAATGTCTAAGATCTACATGTATATAGGCGCATACTTTAAAGTTAGTGAGCCTGCTAGGCACGCTATCCGATCATAATAATCATTCGGATTCCCGGTTAGTTTATGCGCACTTCCCTATATATTCTACTGTCATCTGAAATTTTAACCTATTTTCAAACATATCGTTCATCGTTCTCCAAATTAAACTACACAGCCTTCAAGCAGTGATGCCTATCATGTCACCTCGTCGGAGGAGTCCGAAACTGATGTGTCAGAATCCGACACTGAGTCCAATTTCTCGTCGGATTTGTCGGATTTGGAATACCCCAAAGCGACCCGCACCCGGGGCAGGAAGAAAATCGCCAGCACAGGTAAACGCAAGGCCACATCAAAAGCCAGAGTCGGATCCAAAACTGGCGCCAACCCCCAACCCAACCCCAAATATAAATCCAAAAAGAGGTTATCGCGAGGTGTTAATGGTACTGGGAGAGGTAAACGAGCTGTAGAATCCGACATTTCAGACGACAATGATACTCCGCCATCGAGCGATACTGATTCTGGCGATGGGTCAGACTCAGACTTTGGAGGTAAGTGCATGAGTATTTGTATACACGTGTATATATCTGTTTATGCTTGTGTATGCGTGTATTTTCAAATATTCGTAATATATATATATATGTGAGTGTGTATGTATGTATATATATATATATATATATATATATGTATGTATGTATTTATGTATATTATGTATGTATGTGTATATATATATATGTGTGTGTATAAATGTATATATTTTATGTGTGTATGTGTATGCATACGTATTTTGACTTTGTATTTGTATTTATTCCTGTGTATGCGTGTCTACTGTGACCTCCCAGTCTGATATTTAAAATTAAATTGTACACACGCTTGTCACATACATAAACTAATTCATAACATATGCTTGGCTACCTTTATAGTGCCCAATAGGCGCGGACGTAAACGAGCTTCGTCGGCAAGCCGATCAAAGGTGTGTAGGTGTGCTTATAGTAGGTGTATACACACATAAATGTGTGCACTCGTACGACATATCTATACATATGTGTGTATTCTTGTATATTAATACATAGTTTGCGCTATTATGTATGCGTATATGGTCATATATCTTATTGGTGAATATACATGTAGGACGGTATATGTTATCACACCCGTTGATTTCCTGCACGCCGACCCTTCTCGCAAACACTAGCGGCGAAAAAAAAGTACGAGGACGCGCACACTCACACACACATTCACAACTTACTAGCACACATGATGGCCAGTTATACGTCAATACTTATATCAATATACTAACACACTAAATGTATATTTGTATACCTTTACAAGTGTATATATTGCCGAATGCACAGCACGCATAAGTACATATGAGTTCCTGAGTGTACAACTATTTGTTGCCTTAGGAAAGTCTAATTAAGTAACGCTTTCAACGTAAACTTTCTCAAATGTATTGTATCACCCCAGCAAAGGCACAAAACGAGTGTACACCACACTCTACGCATGCTTCTCAATATATCCAATCGTCCCACATACATACACAGGCACACACAAAACAAGTATACACCACACTCTTCGCATGCTACTCAATATACCCAATCGTCCCACATACATACACAGGCACGGCAACCATCACGCACTCGCCGTACTACCTCGCGGGCTAGGGGAAAGAGGCCTGTACTCTCCAGTGACAGCGAATCAGCCGATGATACCAACAACGACTGTGACGATAACAATAATAATACCTACAACAATAACGACAAAGATAGTCACAACAATACTAATGCCAATGCCAATACCAATGGCAGTGGCAGTGGCGACGATGTGATTGCCTACTCAGATATTGCAGTTAAGCCCCGGCGTGGTAGACCGGCACAGACTAACAACCCCCTCAGAAAGAACCAGAGGGGTGCCGCAAAGCGCCGCCGTGTGGAAAGCTACGCTGTGGATGGGGACTCAGACGCGAGTGCAGACGCGGGCGAAGGCTCCTCCCAAGGGCGGTCGAAGGGCAAACGGGCACGAACACGGTACACGTCACAGAACAGCCAGGCACTGGCCGGGAGTGGTAGTGATAGTGACCAGGGGATGGACCGAGAGGTTGTGCCACACAGGGGTTCTATTAATAGCGCAGGCGTAGGTACCGGTGCAGGCTCGGGCAGGGCTGCGGCCGTGGGGATGAACTACCGGGAACAACCCAGTGTCGAACCTGACAGCGAACCGAATGCGTCAGATGGGGAGACGGGTATGACGGATAGCGAGGGGGAAGGGGAGAGGGCCTCCTTTGGAAGTTCTGTACCAAAGGGCAAAGGAAAAATCACGCAAACCCCTCAACGAAAACGCACGCCCGTGCCGATGGGACGAGGAGATGGGCGTGAGCATGTGAACGGCGACATGAATATACCCACACCAGAAGGAACCTCACACACACAGGGGGGAAGACAGCCGCGTGTGGCGATCAAAAGCGTTAAAGCAGTGCTGAAGGGCACTCCACGCTCTCGGGCGTCTGTGAGTGTGCAGCCGTACGATACGCATCACAGGGGAGGCAGAAAGAAGAACGGCGTAGACGACGACGGCTTGTTTGCCAGTAATGGGGTGCAACCTGATGCTGGTAGCGAATGGTAAATGTATCTGTAGTGCGTGTGTGCGGGTAGTATGTGTTTGGGGCTTGTTTTTGGTTGGTGTTAAGTTCAGGGTGTGGCTGGACCGTATGATAAAGTGCACAGGAGTTCTTGTTTCTAGTCATGACCTGCAACTAGCAATTAGCAATTGTATTTGAATAGCGTGTTTATATAGTGCGTATGCACATTGAGCGTTCAATGGTTTGTGTTTGTGAATAGTCCGTTCGTACCGTTTTTTGTAATATGTGTAGTTGAGATTCAACAAGCAAGACATAGCGGAAACTAAGAATTATAGTGCATATACTACACATCAGATGGACGGTTTAAATGACTACATACCCACCACAAACCGTATTCGCCACACAAACGCTGAACATACACGCTGCATATATAACGCATGGCAGGTGGGATAACATGCCGCTGAGGGCGCTAGTCGCCATACAACCTGTGCTGTGGAACTGCCTCGATGCACGTGAATACTTCGGCGACCCAGTGAATATCAACTTTTTCCCCGACTATTATAGCACGATACAGAACCCCATGGACTTAGGTATGTTATATTTGTATGTATGTATGTATATTTATATATATATATATATAAATGTATGCGTGTGTATATATATATGTGTGTGTACATATACATATACACATACATATACATATATATATATATATATATATGCATGCATACATGCTTATATACATAAATACATATATCTATTTGTATAACAATTGTATCAAGCAAGGAAATTTGTAGTTACTAATGCGATGCATGTAAGCTCGATAGTAGAAGTTGCAATAGGGTTATGTAGATGTTGAGAGTAATAAACGAGTATAGATTGCTCTGTGTGGACAGATACTGCAATTTCGTTGTTTATGTGTATGTATATATATAGATGTACGTGTGTGTATGTATGTATGTATGTATGTATATATATATATATATGTATGTATGTATGTATATATGTATATATATTATGCATCCCCCTGTTTAGATTCCATGCTTGCATTGATAACTAGCGTCTGTATTTCAAGTCATCCGTCTCATTCATTTCCACGTCCATCTCTCTCAACAGGCACCATTCGAGACAATGCGAAGGAGGGCGCATACACGAATAGGCCAAGTTTCTACATCCGAGATGTCTGTCTGGTGTTTAACAATGCCAAGGCGTACAATAAAATAGAGTCGGACGTGTACAAAGCAGCACAGCACCTCGAATCTGTCTTCACGGCCCATCTGAAGGTGCTCTGGGACAACCACAAGGATTACATCGAACTAGGAGCCACGTATGTGCACGTGGTCAATTGTCTACATGTGCCATTGGTTTGACTGACAATTCTAGTGCCTCTGTGTTTTAATAGTTGATATAAATCCGAATGCTGCGATCAATATTTTTGTTCATATCCTATTACCTTTAAGCCTGATTTTAGCACATATCTATTTCTGAACCATGTTTTCAGAGTCTACTTTAGTTGTCTGTGTCCTTTTATTTTGTTATATCTGTATTTATGGTCAAGAGTATATCTCTCGTCGACATACCTGTATCCAAGTGCTAGAGCAGCTTCTTGTTAAGTTATGTGTTTCTGGGGTCTAGAGCACACATGCTGTTGCTATTTTCCACTCCTCTCTGTGCTAGCCGCGTTAATATGTTTCATCCTTTTTATTATTAGCCGCGTTAATACGTTTCTTCCTTATTATTATTAGCCGTTAATACTATGCATATGATATCAAGCACTCCAACACGTACATATTAATATCTAAGTCACTTCGCCATGTCTTTCTTCCTTGCCGGCCCACCTCCCACCCACAGGGACAATATTCACGCCAACGAATTCTCTCAGACCCTATCGGACGCGCCGCTCTCTGCACGAGCCATGGAACAGTTGGGATTACTACACGCAGAGCTCATCACCACACCCCATACCGCCGTACACTTCAGTCGGCCGGTGTTTGAGACCCTCAGACTGCCCGGGTTCAAACAGAAGGAGCTACAGCGTTACCTAGCCACCATCTTAAAGCCCATGGACTTGCACAATCTGGGAATCTGCATTGCTGACGTATGTGTGCGCTGCGCTTAATGACGTGTTTAATTGATTGTGCTTGCAGCTGTTCAATTGTATAGTATAAATTTTGGGGTTGTGTGTACTCATACATGCATATGCGCCTGATTGAGGCTATTTGTAGTTGTGTTTATTTTATATGCTTATACACTTGCATGAGATACACGTTCGTAAATGTCTTCGAATGGTGTATATGCGTATAATATCGATATATATAAATATGTATCGATATATATGGATATATAGATAAATGTATGTATATATATATATGTGTGTGTTTTTGTGTTTTTGTGTACCCACTCACACCTACATGCTACATAACAAACGCACAGGGTATGATCAAGAACCTTCAGCAATATGCATCGCTGATGGAGTTGTCTATCAGCAACTGTGTAAGCTACAATCTGAAAAACAGCAACATCGTTGAGCAGGCACAGCTCCTACAGATCTGCTACCGTGAGCGGTATGTGGAGGACACACTACACTATGAGTGATTATCTGGTGTGGTCATATGGCACATTGGTTAAATTTCTTATGTATATTGCAGCTTGATATGTGACAGCCGTGAATATTGTACTTCTGATAGTACGGATTTAAAATACTTCTAATCAGGTATCGCCACCTAAAGATTTTACCTGTAGGCTCATACATATTTAAGCCGTGATTAGATATTTCCACGAGCTCAATAGTGAGTTGGATACGATATAGGCATACACACACACACATGCATATCAAAGTTTTCTCATCTCCCCATGCCACACATGTAATCACATGTCCATGCCAAAGTTTTCTCATCTCTCGATACACCAACAGGCTGAAACAAGTTGAAAAGGCTATGGATGAGTCGGGTACTCCTAAGGTGCCTGTACAGTTGGCAGATATACGCAAGTTACACGCGGGTATCATGACCTCCGAATACGCGTCCATGTTCAACGTGCCAGTCCCACAGCATATAGAGGTACGTGAGTGGATATATATGTACGTATGTATATGTATATGTATTGCAATTTTCAGCACATCAAACGTGGTGTTTCTCTCTTTATTTCGTTTGTGTGCTCTATACCGAACTATAGGGTTAATTTTGTTTATATACATAAACTAGTATGTCTAATTAAGTACGTGAGTGGATATATATCAAGTATATATATGTACGTACACGAATATATATATATATATATCCATTATTCATTATTCATTATCCATGTCTATATCGTATGTTTATGTATTGCTATTTTCAGCACATCAAACGTGGTGTTTCTCTCTTTCTTTCGTTTGTGTGCTCTATACCGAATTATAGGTTTGATTTTGTTTATATCCATTTACAATATTTCTCGCAGGGGTACTACGAGAAAATTACGGAAGCCATGGACTTCGGTTCTATAAGAGACGCGCTGAACTCACAGACTGTGACTATGAATGAGTACATGTCTGATTGCACTCTGGTGTTCACCAATTGCTTCTTGTTCAACGAGCTCGACTCACCGATCTGCGTGACGGTATGTTTACATAAGTATCTGTACATTTCGTCACGCTATGTTTACGTAAGTATCTGTACATTTCGTAACGCTATGTTTACGTAAGTATCAGTACATTTCGGTGTATACATTCGATGCATCCTTTGGTTGTGTATTAAAATACACTGTGATCTCGGATTAGTTGCATGTTTTTGAAGTATACATCCATGAGATGAGTGTAGAGGCGCGTGGACCAAATCTGTTTATGAATGTTCTTCTCAACTTTCCATATGATTGTATTTCGAGTTTCATGTGTACTACTTCTGAACTCTTCACAAAACAATATATTCGTATTGCCCAATTATGATGGGTGTGTATGTGTGTGCTATTTCTCAACTTTAATTTCAATTCTACAATCCGTTTGCAGTGTCAGCAGCTGCGCGATGCATGGTTAGCCAAGTGTAACATCCTATTGTACGGTCGACAGTCGTCACGTAGACGCCAGCAGTAAGAATGGATAAGAGAAGGCTGTAAAATTGACTACGAAAACAGTTCCAGAGGCGAGACTACGGAACGAGTACTAAGGTTCAAGGATGTGGCCAAGATGTGAATTGCACACGAACGAGCTTAGTCTTTTCCTCGCGAGAAATCTACGAGATTAGCGGACAAAAAAAAAGACTTTTAAAGCAAGAAAAAAAGACTACTATAAGAAGGACTGCATCTACTTCAGTTCACCAGACACAACCATGAATTCTTGACAACAATAAACGAAGACTAAAGAAAATGATTACTGAAGCAGACAAAAAAAGATTCATTGCTGCAGACAGTAGAAAAGATATTAAAAAATACTGGACTCGAAAAAAAATTGAAGTATAACCTTCTGCAAATTAGGAAAGAAGTCTCGCAACAGATTATTTACTGTACTCGGTATGTGTATATGTAACTGTATGTGTATATGCATAGGTATATGTATATGTGTTTATGCATATAATGGTCTCAGAAAATTCGAAAAAGGAAATTATTGAAGTAGTTTTTTTATAAAAGTAAAACATGTCTCCGACATGGGGACTGAAACCGATGAAACTACTATTGAGGAAACGCCCTAACTTTTTTTTAAATAGCTGTATTAAATTTTGATGGCTGAATAAGGTAGCCAATGCTTCACATCTTACGGCCGTTAACTTTCCGTTCAACGCGTTAAAACCTTCTGTACACGAAGTTTTCAGTGGTTGGTTTAAAATTCTTCAATAGACCTTTTTGTAGGCTTATTTCTACAGAATGTGAGTTTGCTGTAGGGACCTATATATAGTGAAATTTGTGACGGATAGACAAAAAAAGTCGTCAATGAAGTCTGGAAGGACTTCCAAGCTAACGCTTTCAGTGATAAAAAAAAAATGACCCGAACTGAATAGCAAAGACAGAATGAAAAATTATTCAATTAAATACTGGAGGCTGAGGGAATGTTGAAATCTATTCATTCCGACGTTTAGTCCGTTTGGTTCTATTTTTACTTTTCTACTTCTACTAGGGACTTCTACTAGGGGGAATATTTTTGTATTCAATACCGAAGATTTATAGAACTCCTTGTTAAGAACGACGTTTAAGAAAATATTAAATAATGCAGTAAATTTCAATCTGCTACTTTTTTTCAATATTTTGCGACATCTTGTTTCCTGGAATGGCAGCAAACCTCGTCATTCCAGACACAAGACTTTTCTGACCTTTTCTACCACAAGAGAGGGCACAAATAGGAAGAACGGAAGACAATTCGTATCATCTGTACTCCGCACGTCAAACGTACGTGAGAGTATACGTTACTATTCCTCCGGCAGATCACATCCTAATATGACGAGACAAGACTTGTGAAATTATGCAGCAACAACAGAACCTGCTGCACATCCTATAGAATCAATTAATAATCTAACAGGGTCGATTAGCTGAGCTGGTACAGGATCAAATTATCACAGTCCTGCGCGTATAAAGGAGGGGTTTGCAAGATTACATACGTTTTGGTTGTGTAATGCAGACTATGCCCACTCTAGTAGTTTGATGAATGAATCTCGGTACATCCCATCCTATTAACAAAAACCACACTTTCGCCCTTCAAGGTCGCACTCGAATCCGAGGTCTCTACAGGGGTTGTTTCATTTCAAGGTCGCACTCGAATCCGAGGTCTCTACAGGGGTTGTTTCAATTCAAGGTCGCACTCGAATCCGAGGTCTCTACATGAGTTCATTGTGAGTTGATATGACATTGTTTTGTCAAAACTTAGACTTCACACCAGATGGTCTCTGCTCGCGCCTTGTGGTACACCGATATGGTACGAACATGAAGTCAAACCATTGAGACGTGAACTGAACGACCACATCACTCACTACAACTGGCTTCTCAGGGGACTGGACCAGTCTACAGTTCCATGCACTACATCTGAGGAACAGCTGCCCATGAACTTTCACTTAGCGCTACATGATCAACTACGGACAGTATCGACATGGCCAATGACAGTCTTAAAACGGAAGGTGATATTCGGCTGTCTTCATTTCTGGCAGAAACAGCACCTGCAAGTTCAGAAGCCTGTGCTAATTTCTAACCAATCTGCGACGGTTCTACCTGCTCTCCGACAAAGTAAACCTAGGAATTGCCTCATGAATCAAGAGGTGCTGACATTGGCATCGGTAATTTATTGTCACAAAGCTCGACGGCCAGCAGTTATAGCATATCTCTCGGGGGCGCTGAATTATAGTACAATTGGACACTGCGCTCATTCACCGCTCGTCATTTATACGAGACTTGGGGCAAGAAGTTCCGACTCAGTCACCAAAAATGTTTTCCAGAACACATTACAGTATCCTAGCACATAAGAGGGCCTAGATCAAGTTCACGTTTTCCGACTAAGGAAAGACTAAGGAAGGATTTCAGTAGCAATACTGAACGCTCAGAGAAGACTAAAAAATATAATTTGCTAAAGTTGTGTCATCTTTGTTTCCTAGAAAGAAAGCAATTGTCGTGGTCCCAGTCTCAATACTTCCCTGACCGTTGCTACCGCAAGGGTACAAAATGGAAGAACAACCGTTATTTGGTCTCATTTGTTCTCGTCACGTCTAATTGTAAATCATAAAGGTAATAGTTCTCTATATCCCCCGTAGATCACATCAAAACATGGCATAACAACACCTGTGTGCAGTCATATAGCAACAACAGTACCACACAGCCCACAGAATCAGCTTAATAATAACCCAACAGGGAATAATAAGCCTAACTGGTAGAGGATCGTACTACCACAGTTATACTGCCCGTATAGAGAAAGTTTTGCTTGTTTTCACATGTACTGTGCTTGTTTTCACATGGACTGCTTGACTAGTGCGGAAATCCCCTATAAACAGTTTAATGAAATTCAGGGCATCCTATCCAATTATCAGTACCTACGCTTTTGCCCCGTGGTTTCGACCCACATTCCAAAATTCTACTGCAATCTTAAACTTGTTAAATTTATATTCAAAGAGAACAAAAAAAGGCAGCACGAGCTCGCACTACTCGTTCTGGAGTTAAAAACAAAAGCAAGGCCAAACCAAAATACCGCAAAACGGTGGTGTTCCTGGCGTTGATCCCAACTCTCTTCTGTACACCAAGGGTAGAAGTGTTGCTCTATTAAACGAGAGCGAGCGAGAAAGAAAGAAAGAGAGAGAGAGAGAGAGAGAGAGAGAGAGAGAGAGAGTGTGTGTGTGTGTGGAGGC